CTGCTTTCTTCTTTCCTTTATTATGCTTCCATGCAAGGGAAAGTGATGGATTTAGGGGGCTGGTTTAATATCAATATATGGGAGTCAAGTGATACGAGGGTGCTGACTGAATTAATGGGGTCACCTGATTTGTAGTGACTGACTTAACAATAGGAGTCATGTGATCTACAGGGCCAGCTGGATCAGCGGGAGGGCCCCCCATCTTACAGGTGATGGCAGCCTTGCAGGTGGGAGAAGGTGGTGGACTAGGGAAGCTGGTAATACACAGGCTTGGGTCTTCTCAGCTATTTGAGTTCCGTAGGTCTGCCACAACAAATTGGCACAAACCAGGTGGCTTAACACAACCGATCCATATTCTCTCTCAATTCTAGAGACTAGAAGTCCAAAATCCAGGTGCTGGCAAGGCTCAGGCCTCCAGAGTACAAACTGTTCCACGCCTCTCTGACCTTGTGGTGTTGGCAGCAACCGTTGTGTTTCTTGGCTTGTAGATACAGTGTTCCAATCTCTGCCTTGTGGTCACAGGGCATTCTTCCCTGTGTCTTCCTCTCTTCTAAAGACACTAGTCAGATTAGAGCCCTAATGACCTCATCTTAATTTGATTACAGTTGACCCATTTCCAAATATATTCACATTCACGGGTGCTGGGGATTAGGCATGAGACTCAAGAGATGTGGGTTGGATCCCTGGGTGGGAAAAGATTCCCCTGGAGTAAGGAATGGCAACCCACTCCAGTATTCTTGCCTGGAGAATCCCATGGACAGAGGAGCCTGGCTGGAACAGCCTATAGGACCTCGAAGTGTTGGACACAATTGAGCAACTAAGCACATATATCTTTTCAAAATTAAATTAATTATTTTTGTCCCTCTCACATGGCATGCCAGTCTTAGTTTCCCAGCCAGGAATCAAGCCTGTGCCCCCCATGGTGTGGAAGCAGAGTCTTAACCACTAGACCGCCAGGAAATTCCCAGCAACAGTTTGTTTTCAGAGAAATGTGCTACTTCTTAAGTGAAAACATTTTAGCAGTACTTAAGTGTATGGGAAAGTGGAAGTGATGGCAATCCTGATTATGTCAGTGGGGTGATGATGGATGACACTTTCTTCTAATTATACTTTCTAAATTTCCTACAGTGTGCTTCTAACTATCTGGGCCATCTGAGTTGCCAGAAGCCCTAACCTCCCTCCCAGCCCTCAACTCCAACTCTGCTTTCTTACCGAGCCTGCAGATCTCGAGCGCCCTCTGCCATAACGCATCTCTCCCTTTTGTGCTTCTAGAAGGTGCAGGTCAGTCTCCTGGGGGTTTTGTTAAAAATGTAGATTCTGATTCAATGGGTATGGGGCGGGGCCTGGGATTCGGCATTTTAAACAATTCCTAGGGGAAACCGATGCTGAACCCCACCAAGTAGCAGGGGTTGAAATTGCTGAGTCACGAAGAGCTGTTCTACAACAACGACCACAGTCAGCTTTGGATATGTCGGTCCAGAAGCCCTCCCGCGAAAGCCTAAACCTAACGCGGAAAAGCAGCCACCGCCAGGAAGACTGCGACAGCCCCGCCCCTCGAGGCCATCGCGGAGCCGCAATTGGCCATGCCACTCACGTGGTGCGGCGCTCACGTGAGGCCACTGTCCAATCGTCGCGCGCCTCCGGCCCAGGCGCCGGCTGGCGCCCCGAGAGGTGGCTGCGAGCGCCATGGCGGGAAGACCGCTGCCCGGAGGCGGCGGGGTGTGCGCCGCCGCCTACCCTAACACCTCTGCCGGATTCCCCCCGCACCTCCAGGCCGGCGCGATGCGGCGCCGCTTCTGGGGCGTGTTCAACTGCCTGTGCGCCGGCGCGTTCGGGGCCTTGGCCGCCGCCTCCGCCAAGCTGGCCTTCGGCAGAGAGGTCGAGCCGGGGGCGCTGCTGCGGTGGGCCGGCGGGCGGGGCCAGGCGGAGGAGGGGCGCTGCGGGGCTCCGGGGCGGGGCCGAGCTTACGGCGCTGGGGCCGTCCGACCCCCGCGGGTCTGTTTTTGGGGGGGTGGGTTGGGGGGCTCATCCGTTGTCGGGCGCTGCAGAACAGCGGGGGCAGAAGCGCATACCTCTACTCGGAGTCACGCCCAGCCCTCCTCCAATGTAGGTGGTAAGCACGTGGGGGACTGAGGCCTGTTCCCTTACCAGGGACCCCAAAAATCTGTCCTCCGAGCTAGTTCATTCTCGGGGAAGACGCACACCTCCTCCATCCACTCTGTACCTCTCATTTTAAGCCCTTTGTGCCTGAGCATTTCTCTCCACGTGACTCTTAAGGTGAGAAGCCTGTTGCCCAACTCCGTCTTTAACGAGTGTTTTGACTGGTCAACCCACCTGCCAGGAAACTTGGGAATTTCGGATGTCCTAGGTATAAAAGGAAGACTGAGACAAACGTTCTGGATATTTTCCCAATGCTGAGAACTCTTGAACTGCCTCCCCATGTCTGCTAAGGTGGCCTCTCCCGTCTCAAGTCATATAGGCGAGCTTCTGCTTGGTAAAGAGGTTTCATTGCAGCTGCTGCAACTCAGGGTTAGTCCTGGACTGAGACAGTAGACAGGCTGATTCTTTAGGTTTAAGCCTGTTAAGGGCTAATCCAGTGGGCACTGCCATGCTTGAAGTTGGTATCCTGGCATGTGTAATTCTCATTGGAGTAAGTGGTCCAAAGTAAGATGAGTGACCATGAGCCATGAGGTTTTCTTGTTTTCTCAGTTGTGCAGCAGACCTTCTTAAGCCTTTACATAAGTAGGCTGCCATTGGCACATAACAGTGCTTCTGTGTAACTTATACAGAGACACTCCTTCCTCAAGACACCATATATTGAGCTGCTGGAAAACTTATGAGAAAGAAGAGGAGGAGGTGTAGTCGGGTGCCATCCCCAGGGGAAGCGGCTCTCTGCCTGCAGGCAGGTTAATGACTCAACCAAGTAAGGGGTCTGCACATCTTTGTATAGGAGGCTTCTAAAGAGCCTCTCCTCTCAGTAGTCTCCTGAAACAAACAAACGAATGAAATCTGCATGTTCTCCAAGTAACGCCTGGAATCACTAGTCTGACACTCCCAGGTGTGGTTTCCCATGCTGTGTCCTAGTTCAGAGCATGCGGTCCCATTGCCTGGGCCTGCATCCTGGTGGCTTCCCCAAGCTGTGGTGCTTCAGGCAAGTTCCTTAATGCCTCAGGTTCCTTATCTGTAAAATGAAGTTATGGAATATATGAAAAGGTACTTATGACACTTAGCCCAGGGCCTGCTACCAAGTAAAAGCTCAAGAATGCCCAGTAGGACCAGGCTGAATGGCTTCTAGGCTGCACAGAGCAGCAGGGAGACCACCAGTTCCTGTTTCACCTGATTCTGGCATGTGAGGACTCTGCCCCTCATTTACTCAGACCGGGGGATAACTACTTGGCCCACTGAGACTGAACTTCCCCCACTGCACTGGTCACTGTGGGGCCGTAACAGACTGGTGTTCAATAGAAGATAACTGGATATGAATTAGCACTTTACTTCTGCCCAAGGTCACATGGCTGGTACAATGGCCAAATAAATGTCTTTGAGTTTGTTTCAGCTGTTGAGTGAGTGTGCGCCGGCTGAGGGTTAAGTGAAGGCCTGTGCAGGAAAGCTCTGAGAACCCCCAGGCTGTGGCGGCCTGGCTGCCAGCAATGACCGGACCCTGGGTGGCTGTCATGGTGGCTGCTGGTCAAGCCTGTCCAGGGCTGACTGTGGCTGCAGTGACCCTTTCTCCTGCAGGTGAACGTGGGCTTCTGCGTCTTAGGCATTATTACGATGGCTACCACCAATTCTCTGATGTGGACGTTCTTTAGCCGGGGACTCAGTTTGTCCATGTCTTCAGCCATTGCATCTGTCACGGTGACTTTTTCAAACATCCTCAACTCGGTGAGTAGCCTGAGTGTATGGTTCCTCTGTCCCAAATCTGGGTTCTGGGTGGGTTGTCCTTGGGCAACTCCTGCTTTCCCACCTAGGAGAAGGGACAGGAACTGAAGCAGAGGTTGGGCGGTATCTTGACTCCTTGTGACTTCTTCAATCTCTCAAACTTGGTGACATTCTCAAGTTAGATGGCGAGGAAGTCCAGCTGTCAAAAGCCTACTTGTTTGCCGCCCCACAGGGATCTGTGAACTCAGGCAGGAGACATGGAGGGTGGAGGGCCTTCCCTCCCAGTGGGCTGAGCCAGGGAGCACGTGCTGGGCCGGCTATGTGCAGGGCCTGGCTTCCGGCCTCTGCTGGCCTCTCTGGTCCCCTTTGCTGGTCCAGTGCTCTGAGGAGGTACCCGGCCCACTTCTACAGGTGAGACCTGTTGAAGATCACAGCTGGGTTTCAGGCCCAAGACTTCTAGCCCCAGACCTTTCTTCGGCCCCAGGGGGAGTCAGGTGGTGTCCGCGCACCCTGCGGGCACGTGTCCGCCCAGCCTCACAGCTGTCTCTGTCCCCCAGGCCTTCCTGGGTTTTGTGTTGTACAGAGAGTGCCAGGAGGTCTTGTGGTGGGGCGGAGTGTTCCTCATCCTCTGCGGACTCACCCTGATCCACCGGGAGCTCCCACCGCCCAGGAAGCCCCTTCCGCACAAGCAGCGGTAGCACCAGCCGGCCGGGCAGACCCGCTGGAAAGACAGTCATGGCGGCCTAGGCTCGGGCTGGCGTGTGGGGACCGCAGCTCAGGGCAATCTGGGTGCGCAGCCTTCCGACCCCAGGCCAGAGGACGATGCTGCCCAGGGAAGCAGGCCTGTGACCAGGAAGCCTTGTGGGTGGACAGCTCCAGCTTCTTTCAGGGGAAGTACACCTCGGCAGTGTTCTGCCTGAAGCCACCTCCTCCATCCGTCTGCACTGTGCTGTTGACTCTCATGTTCCCCAGCCCACCCAGTGAGCCCCGGTAGGCGCAGGAGACCCTGGGGTTGGTCAGCTTACTATATGGACTTGAGACCACACTAACTGCGATCCTGTTGCCTAATGAAGGCCAGTCACGGGATTTTGGAATCAGGACTGGTTGGGTTTTCGGCTTCACATCGATGTTACCAGACCATCAGCCTCATGCTTCTGTATTAAGGCAAGAGAAGAAAAACTAGATTAATAAATGCTTGTTTTATAAGTTAAAACTGCCAGGTGTGCAATCTTGATTCTGTCTTAATGTTTTTCCTTTCATTTTTTTGGAGGAAGAGCAACTAGGGTGAGCTGCAGTTCTCAGAGGGGAGTTGAAATCCCATCCCCACTTCCAGGCCTGGTGCTTGGCTGCTCTCTGCCTGCCAGTTCCTTCCTGACTCTACCCAGGCAGATGTTCTTCAAATTCAGGAGCATATCTGTCCATAGCTCTTATAATATTTTATGTTATGTTATGGCTGCGCCACTTGGCCTCTGGGATTTTAGTTCCCCAAGCAGGGATTGGATCCTGGTTTTTGGCAGTGAGAGCAGAGAGTCCTAACCACTGGACCCACCCCCCCCACCCCCCCTGCCCCAGGGAAGTTGCCATCTTGTCATTTTTCGAGTCCTGATTGGACAGTGCCCCCCACACCCCGCCAGAAATCTGCACACAAGCTGAAAAGTCATAGGCTGATGGTCTCACAAGAGCGCCTTAGCAACTATCGCTAACTTTGGTTTAAGAGCAACTCTGCCTTTTAAAACCTTAACGGTGTCTCCATCTGTCATCTCTCTCTCGAGACTCCAAGAGGCAGAAGTTACAGCAAACATCATTCATTATGCAGACTGTTTTTTTTTTTTAATACTGAGAGGATTTAAATTCCAACTCGCCCACTGGTGGCGAAAAACAAGGAAGTTGTATCCTGCCAGCACTTTGCTCGCAGCTTACCCTGATTGAGATGGTTCCCCAGCATTTATGATATGACGTTACGAGCAGTTGACATTTCAGTCTTTTCTACCCAGCCAGGTGCAATGACTACAGAAAACAAAAGTATTAAAATTAAAAATGACAGCTGAGGTATGTCTTCCTGCAGTCCCAGCACTGCTCTGACCTCGTTAACCCACCCATATGGGGGTGCTGAGTCATGCTGCAGGCCCCAAGGAGGCAGCGGGCGAGGAGGACGCTCCAGTGCTCCACACGGACTCTGTGCTGTGAATTCCTTTCCTAGGGCGGAAACAAATGGCCACAAAATTGGTGGCTAAACCAACAGAAACATATTCTCTCACAGTTCTGGAGGCTGGAAGTCTAAAAATCAAGGCATGATCACGACCAGGTCCTCTTGGGAGGCTCCTTGGAGCATCCTTTCGTGGCTCTTCAGATTTTTCAAGGCTCTAAAGGCGCCCTGGCTATGACTGCATTACTTCAGTCTGCTGTGTCACCCAGCATCTCAACGTTTGCTGCCTCACACTCCCGGAGGCATCTCACCTCCTCCTCATTTCATTTCAGAAAGGACAGAGTTCATTGGAGTAAACAGGAAGTAAACGAGGTCATGCAAATATCCTGGTCCTCATGAAAATCATTCCTGTCATTCCCTGCCCCCCCACCCCCACCCCCCAATTTACTTTCCACTGACAGCTCATGCTGGGGCTTCCCAAGTGGCTCAGTGGTAAAGAACCCACCTGCCAATGCAGGAGATGCAAGTTCAATCCCTGAGTCAGGAAGATCCCCTGGAGGAGGGCATGGCAACTCCAGTATTCTTGCCTGGAGGATCCCAGAGACAGAGGAGCCTGGCGAGCTACAGTCACAGAGTTGGACACGACTGAGTGTGCATGCATGACAACTCATGTCTGAACCAGCCTTCTCTGTGATGGTTTCACAGTCATTTCCCAACTTCAGCTCCCTCTGCACTTATGTGCTGGGCCCGGTATTCTGTAACCAAAGCCCTTCCTTCTCTCAGGTCCATCATCTGTCTGTCTGATGTATCAATCATCAGACATATCCGTCTATGAAACAATCTCTCTGTGTGGGCTCAGGGATCTCATTTGTCCCCAGTGGTTTACGATTGTTCCTGTTCTTAATTATGTCTGTGCTAGGACTGTCCCACACTTGCCCATGGAAGTCCTACACAGCTGGCTCAGGAAGTGAACGTCTCTTTGATTCCTGTTTAACTCTTGCCTCCCATGTCTGACCTCCCAACCCTCACTGTTCCAGACCTCTCGTGGAGACCTTGCAGGACCCCACCCCCTACCACCAGGCCAAGTAGCTTCCTCCTAAGACTGGTCCAAGGATGGACGATAACCCCCACGCGCACGTGTGTCCCTGCTTCAGAGACCCTGCTTTTGATTTTCATGGTTTGTGAGTTAACACAAATGAACATTTCCTAAGTAGCTACCACTTGATAGTTACAAGGAATCTATGCACAGAGAAAATAGGGGCCAAAGAGACTAGTCTAGAAGCCTGGAGTTCATCACAGTCATGAATCAGGGGTGCTAGAAGTAGCACTGGAAGTCTTTTATGATGGCAAAGATTTTGTCTCAAATGCCTACTCTAACCAGTGGTTTGTGGGTAGCCAGGGCAGTTGAGAATGGGCAGAAAAAGTTCTAAAGCTGAGGATGTCTCCATGGACTCAGGATGGGAGCCTGGAGAACGCAGTCGATTATTATTTCATCTTGAGCTCGGCTGCTTGTTTTCCAGAGAGAGGAAGAGACTTACACAAAGTAACCCAGTTCTGTCCATCCAGATTTCTTCTAATTCTGTGCCTGATGGTGACTCATTTTGGGGGACTGTAGTAATGACCACATCCCTCCTCTCTAGCTCTTTGGCAGCATCTGAAGAGACTCTGTCCTTGGATTCCAATACCTACTTGGACTACCTGTGTCTGATGATGAACCAATCATCAAAGGTTTCATCATTGCAGAATTGTAGAGTCCGAAGAAATGCCCGCCTCTCAGGAATCTGTATCTTTCCAGTACGCTAAGCTCCCCGGTAGAGGCGAGCCACTAGAGGCAGAAAGGGCTCCTGCCTGGAGCTCGGTCTTGGCTCTGGGTGGGTCTCTAAGACCCCTGGGGCGGGGGGGGGGGGGGGGGGTGGGGGGAGTGCCCTAGTTGGCTTATTCTTCAGGCCAGGTGTATTCCTAAGAGAAATAACACCTTGCTTTTCCAAATTAGAATTTCTGAAGTGATGCATCAATAGGCAATTTTATTTTTAAAATTTTTGCTCAACTGAATCTTTAACATTTAAATTTTTGGAATAAGTAATTATTTGCACGTAGTACAAAATTCTAAAGATGCAAAAGTTACAGTGAAAAGCTCCTTAGCAACTCTTTCCTGTCAGGTGTGCACCTCCTGCCCTCCCCGCAGCCCCCACCCCACGCCCCCAAAGGCAGAGAGGGGTCTTTCATGACTTAAGCGTCAAGAGTTTCTCTTGGGGAATTTCCCTTCCCACCCTCACCCAAGTGGCTTAGTAGAAAATTTCTCCCACCTCCTGAGAGGAATTGGGGAAAACACACACATCTCCAGGCAGTCATGTCTCTAGGGATGTTTGAGGTACCTTGTAAACAGTAGGCGCTGCCGCTCACCTTGGCTAGCTGAGACTGTATAGGAACTTAAGAGCTGCACTTCTGGATCTTCTGATCTTCCAGAATAAGCTAGAGGAGCATGTGTGTTCTACAGTGTGAAGGTCTTCTATAGTAATCCAAGTTGGAAAAGTCGGTGTGTTGATCAGACTCAGCAAGTTGGAGGTTGAACTTGTCTTCAGCTTGTTGGTTTATACCTAGTGCTCCAATGGCAGAAATACTACTGATGTCCCCGCCCAGCCCTGGCAGCGTGTCCCAGCCCTGACAGCTGCAACTGACTCTCCAGCCTGGGTCTCATCATTAGTAGTCATCTAAAGTTCCTAGGTACTTCTCACAGAGCCCAGTGTGGATGCCCATGTGCCCTGCCCAGGACCAGCCAGGACCCTTCAAAAAGACTGAGCTGAGGCTGGGACTCCCGGCTTCTCTCACAGTGCCCCTCCCCTCTCCCGCAGCACTCCCAGCCAACCGCATGGTTGTGTATCTTTGAATTTTCCAGGACAGTGAAGCCTGGGGAGACCATCAGATTCCACATAAAAGACATCCCAACAAAAGCTGGACTTAAGAAATTTCTCAACAAGTTTAGTTCCAATGAGGTGAAATAGGTTCCTGCTGAGAAGACTGTTCTCATCGCCAACTAGACTTTGCCTGATGCCGCGGAAGGAGGTGGCAGCTCTGACCAGCTCTGAGCCTTGGTTGAACATTTTAGCATTTCCTGCCTAGGGATTTTTGTCCAGTCGCTTAGTGGTGTCAGACTCTTTGCAACCCTATGGACTGCAGCACCCCAAGCTTCCCTGTCCTTCACCATCTCCCAGAGTTTGCACAAACTCGCGTCCATTGAATCGGTGATGCCATCCAACCATCTCATCCTCTGTCGTCCCCTTCTCCTCCTGCCTTCAATTTTCCCAGCATCAGGGTCTTTTCCAATGAGTCACCTCTTCACATCAGGTGGCCAAAGTATTGGAGTTTCAGCTTCAGCATCAGTCCTTCCAATGAATATTCACAGTTGATTTCCTTTCGGATTGACTGGTTTGATCTCCTTCCTGTCCAAGGGAATCTCAAGAGTCTTCTCCAGCACCATAGTTTGAAAGCATCAATTCTTTGGTGCCCTTCTTTATGGTCCAACTGTCACATCCATACATGACTACTGGAAAAACCATAGCTTTGACTATATGGACCTTTGTCAGCAAAGGTCTGACAAATGTCAGCAAATGTCTCTGCTTTTTAATATGCTGTCTAGGTTTGTCATAGTTTTTCTTCCAAGGAAACCTTAGGTATTAGCTTTCAGATAATTAGATTTTATTACTCATTAGATTTCAGACAGTCAGGTTTGATTACTCCTATGAGGGCAGATTCAAGAGCTAGCTGGGTGAAAGATAGCATTCAAAGGTCAACCAACCACAGCAGCACAACTACTGGGCCAGGTCATGTGGGATCACAGGGGCACCTTGTTGACAGTAGAAATGCCCAGCCTGGGTCCCAGAGCCCTGCCCTGCCACCTTGAGTTTTGGACCATGGCTGTCTGTGGTCAGAACCAAAGGCGTCCACAGCCACAGAGCTGGCTTGATAGCCCAGGCTATCAGAAGCCCAGAGCTGCTGCCCACTTGCCCTGTGAGAAGGGACCACCTCTTCAGTCCCAGTGCACATCAGCCCTGGAAGCAGCAGCTGACCACAGCCTTCTGCCCACACTGGCTGGGGCTGCTGAAAGTATCTTCTCTCTCCACTGTGTCTGCCTGGAGTCCAAGGACTTCTGCCCCACGCCTCACTCCCACCTCTCCTCCCTCCCCGAGGGGGCCTGAGGGCCATCAGGGGGACAGGGCCTTTCCTATAGACCTCGGCACACACCAAGCCCATGCCCAAACCAGACGCAGGACTGAGGACCACGTGCTGTCTGCTTGCCTTTGACTTTTGACAACTTCAGGCAACTTGAAACTGTGGCACCTGAAACCAAAATTCATGACCCCTGCCTGCACTTCCTCATGGCTGGTGGGCCTTCGAGGCACCTGCAGTGCAGGGGCCATTTCCAGTCTTCCATGTGGAAGAAGCCCCAGGCCCTTGGTGATGGTGGTGGGTGAGCCAGTGGTCCCACCTACTTGATGATGGTAGTTAAAATCAGGAACCCTCAAGAGGGCTGACATGAGGACGCAGGGGGAGGGAAGGGGGAAGGTGGTGAATGACTTCACCCCTCCCGGTGAGGGAGCCTGCCTACCTGTTCCCTCCAAACAGCCTCTGAACCTTCTCCAAGGAAGCCACAGGCTCCTCACCTTGTTCTCATCCAGATGTTTCACTCTCACTCTTAACACCCAAAACATCTACCTCCTCCAGGCAGCCGTGGGAGTGATGGACAAGCACCCCTCCTCCTCACACCAGCAGGCCCATCCCAGGCCCCTGCCCAGCTAAGCAGGGTTAGCCCTGTGTCCCCCTATACCCCCGGACTCTAGCTTCCCTTTTCAGGGAGGCCTGCCCTTGTGAACCACCTTGGACATGGCCCTAGACCGGTCATTGACTTTGCTGATCCTGTTGCTTCAGTTTCTCCCTCTCACGGTTAAGGAGGTTAAAATCTATCGCCCTATACCTCCCATTCACTCCTCGACCCCCAGGAATAAAGCTGCCTTAGTGACCCCGTAGGTCTCCACTCCACTTCAGGGTGCAGAAGCAGGCTGGCCGGCCAGAAGGGCCCTGACTTGAACCAGCTCCAGGAAAAGAAGGGGGTTAAAGAAGGATGACCCTTCCTGACCTCTCGGGTAAAGAAGAATCCCAAGGGGTGCCGCCATGAAGGCTCCCGCCTAGCCCCACACCTCATCTCACTGATGCTACTGGCCCCGCATGGCGGCCTGGAAGCAGAGCTGTGGACAGGAGCACCGGGGCCCGGAGAGACGGCCTCAGGCCTGCTGACAGGCTCTCGGCCACAGGGAGGTGGCCCGGCCTGGGAGGGAGAAGCCCCTTCCCTCGGGCAGGGGGCTGCCCCTCCCCAGGAGGAGGCGCCTGCTTGTGCCAACACAAAGCCCTTGTGTTGCCTGCAGCTCTTCGGGTGATGCCCTCCAGAGATTTGCTCAGATGATCAGTGCACCTTTAACCAAACTCCGATGCCTTCAAGATGGCCATGCGGTCCTCAGGGTCACTTTTCTCTTTCTGCAAACAAGCTTCTCAGTGTCTCATGCCGGGACCATGTGGGTGCCTGGAGAGCTGTCTGATCCTCCGAACTTCCCAGGTCAAGGGACTGTCTCTCTCTGGGGTCGGGCTTCTTTGTTCTGGACCCCACTGGGGATGCCTGCTCCTCCCTCTAAGGCTGTAACCCCGATTGGACACACTCTGGCAGAGGCACCGTGTAGCACCATGCGGGCTGAATGAGAGATACTTTATGTGAAACTTGCAGGAAATTCAGAGGTGGAAGCCTGGGCTCTAGAGTCAAGGACCTTCAGCTCTGGGCACTCTTGGCCCAAATATCTACAGTAGCTGCTCCATCGATGCTTGGTGCATGAAAGGTGAGTTTTCTTCCTGCCGGAAATACCACGGGGAGAAGATTCCAAGACAAAGGCGTAGCTGTGTGACACTTGTCTCCTGGGCCACAAATGGGAGAGAAGAGGCTCAGAGATGTCCTTAAGATGAGGTGAGAGGCAGGACGCAGCCCGGGGGGTCTGGACTGGGAGCTCCATGAAGACACAAGACTCTGGCAGCTGAGGTGGACCAGAGAGCTTTTTATTCAAATAAAGAGGTGGAAGCTTGTGCCTGGCCTCCCTCCCTGCAGCCCTCAGCTTGTTCTGACATCAGTCGCCCGGTGGTCAGTTTGGGGTTAAGCAGAATATCACACTGGCGACAGCCACCATGGAGAGAAGGCCACTGTGGTTGCTTGTGCGAGGCCACGAGGCTTAAGGTTGGGCAGATGATTCCCACATGGGACACGGTCTGATGTGTCTAGTGTGGAGGGAGATAGGCTCAGCGAGGAGAGGGGTCGGGGCTGGGTCCCACTCTGTGCGGGTGAAAGGCCTCCCCACCCACCAATCTGAAAGCAGAAGTGACTTTGGGCCTGGTGGGTACCTCTGCTTTCAGGCCATGATGGCCAGAGGAAGACAGGTTTCAAACCTGTCATGCAAGGACATTTCTCAGGGGCCCAGGTTCAGCACATGCCTTTGACCTCAGGCTTGGACTCAGCAGAGACCCCTGAAGCTGTCTGCAAACAGTGACCAGTGACCCCTGTCCCCTTCTTCTAACCATGGCCTCTGGGGACTCCAGGGGTTGGGATGCCTTTCCTTCCCCGGTGTGGAGTCTCTTGGGTATACAGTCCATCAAGCCTGCGCCTTGGATGCACGAAGGATACCTTTACCTTTTTGGGTAAGGATAAAAACTAGCAGGCCTCCGTAGTCACACCCTGCGTAGATGGTGAGTTAACAGGCTTCAGAGCCCCCCAGGGTCCTTTATATGGCTGTTAATAAATATTAAAGCTGATACGGATCCAGAAAAGAGGCCTACGGCCTGGGTGTGGATGGCCCCATGCCCTGCCAACTGCTTTATCAATGCCGGAGTCCTGCTGTCACCCTTTTGTGAGACATCATTAGAGCTGGGATGAGGAAAGACGCGTCCCCTCCTCAAGAAAGCCCAGAGCCTGGCAGGTCACTGGGGGTGGACAGCAGTGTCTGACAGTCGCCACCTTTACAGAATGCCCAAGGGTGCCCTCCCAGAAAGGCCACTGCCTGGCCCTCCTTTCTTACCCACAATCACCAAGGGGCACCAACCCTCTTCCGGACTCTGTGAAAGATGCTGCTCAGCTGCTATGAGAATGGGGATTGTGAACCCAGGACACCCTGCTCAGGCCTTCAAGAATGATCATGGACACTTCAGGCTTTACATGGGATGAGCAGGGTCCCGGCTCAGCCTGGTAGTGTGGGAGGTCTGTGTGTGTGACAGGGGGCCTCCCTGCTTCTCAATCGGAAGGCCCTGGCCACCATCCATGGTTTGAGAGAGACACCCCAAGAAAGGGCACTGTCTTGGGTTACAGGCCTAAGACTCTCAGGCTGGATTTTCTGGTCCATTCTGCCCGTGTGGGTGGTTAGACTCTTTTCAGGAGGGACAGTTAAATGCAGTTCTCACAGGGGAGGTCGGCGTTCCAGGAGCTCTACATAGGTTGTCCCTCTGCCCCTCCACCGGGAGTGGACAGGTTCTTAGCCCCAAGACAGGACACCTCAGAGCAGACTGAGGCTTCTGGTGTCTGCGGAATGCAAGCGGAGTATGCGTGCTGCTGCCACAACTTAGGCTTGTGCCCAATTGGGCACACCCCATGTGTGTGGGGGTCTTCTCTCAAACCAGGCTGGAGCCCCACAGGTGGCTGGAGCCCCGCAGGTGGCCGAAGCCGCCATGGCTGTCTCCTAGTAAGGCAGGCACGGGGGTTGGTGGGTAGCCCTTTCTGGGGAGCGGCCAGGATCCTCACTGCCTGCCCAGACCCATCTCTGCTAAGCTGGGGTTTCCAAGGCCAGCCCTGCTCTGTCCTTCTGTCACCAACTCATCACAGCTTTAGTTTCCAAAAGCCAGGAGCCTGGGCCCCAGCCTTCTCAAGAGAAGACAGACACCCCAAGAAAGGACAGAGGCAAGTTCTTTTCTGCCTCTGGGCTGCCCTGCTGGGAGCTTCCTTTGCTGGGAAGCGCGCCCAGCCTGGAGGATGGTTCCTGACAATCCCTCACGGGGTGGGGAGCTCAGAGCAAGTCTCTCTGCGTCCACCCCCATCGCCTGACCTGGCCCGGCGTGGGGGAGGGAGGGGGGTCGGAGGTCAGGAGCGTGAGGGGAGCGCGTGGGGTGCCCAGGCGCCCGGGCCCCGGGCCCCCGCCCCGCAGCGTCACTCACTCATCGACCACCTCCGCGGAGTCCAAGTCCTTCCGCTCCTCCGACGGCTCCTCCGTTGTGGTCTCCGTGTTCTCCGTGTCTGACACCGAGGACACCTGTCGCACCCAGTCTCTGTCGCTCAGCGGCTTTGGGTGACTCGGTCCGGAGAAGGGGTTGAACCAGTGCAGGGAAAAGGCCCCGCCGAAGGTCTCTTTGACCGATTTCCAGCTGCCCCTGCGTTGCCTGCGCTGGTTCTTTCGTTGGAGGCGCTCGATGCCCTGCGGGGAGAATGGGATACAGAGGGTCAGCAGAGCGCTGAGGCCCAGGGCTGGGGTCTCCTCAGAGGGCGGGGAGGGGCGCTGAGCAGCACAGCAAGCGGGGCCTGCCTTTCCTATCCCTGCCCGCCCTTTCCTTCCACAGGACCAAGGGTGCCCAAGATGGCTACTGCACAGCGACCAGGCTTCCTGGTGGCAAACGGCCAAGGGGTAACCTCTCAGGCCTCTGTAGGCGTGAGCTGCACCCGCCCCCCATCCTAAGATCACCTGGAAAGATGACCCCCTCCCCGAGAATCCTGGGCCACTCCCCCCTCTGACAGCAGGCGCAGCGAAACCGGCCTGAAGCGGGAGGCTGGGGTTAAGGGGAGCGCAGGGGACACGGGACAGGTGAGGGCAGGAGGCAGCCGCGTGCACAGCGAGCGCCGCATGCAAGGGGCAGCCGAAGGGCACGCGGGCCGCTCTGCGGGGGCGAGAGCCGGCCTCGGGCCTGCACATGCGGGGGACACGCACTGAGGCCTCTCTCGAGCTGCCCACTCACCTGCCTCTGGGTGTCGGTGCGCCAGGCCACAGAGAGGGTGTTGGGGAGGGGGAGAAGCCGCAGGAGTTAAAGGCGCAGCCAGGCCGGACCCACAACACCAACACCCTCTACCCCCACCGGGGCGCTGCCCGCTCCGCCTCTTCTGGAGCCAGGGATTCTGCCAGGGGCAACGGCCGGCACCCGTCCTGCCCACGGATAGTGCTTTCCACCTCGGAAGGCCCTCTGGGTACCCAGTTCTAGATTTTCTCTTCCACCTAGGATCCTTACCGAACCGGCCCAGTCCTCTGTTGTGCAGGAGAGACACGCACGGCTGAGATCGGGCTATGCCTGAGTCACTGCCTCTCCAGCACTCTTTTAGTTAATGGTATCCTGTCAGCTAATGGTCTTGTATCAATAAAGTCCCCAGTTTCTATACTGTATTATGGTCTTCTAAAATGTTTACATTTGGAAAGACTGACGGAAAGGCATATGGGAGCTCTCTGTGTACTATTTTTACCATTTTCTTGATTAAATCTGAAATTATGTCTCAGTAAAAAGGTAAAAAAAAAATCTGAGACACCATGATTTAGGCAATATAGTCTTGAATGCAGAATTACAATAATGAGAACTCAGAAACAATCAAAATGTCCAATAATGATGGCTAAGTAAATTTTCTATGTTTTTCTATAAGCAGAACACTAATGCAGTTAATAAAAGTGGCATCAACAAGGGCTTAATTTCCAAAATATACAAACAGCTCACTCATACAACTCAACGACAAAAATACCAAACAACGCAATTGAGAAATGGATAGAAGGCCTAAGCAGACATTTCTCCAAAGAAGATATACAGATAGCCAATAGGCACATGAGAAGATGCTCATTATTGTCAATTACTGGAGAAATGCAACTCAAAACTAGAATGAGGTGCCACCTCACATGGGCCAAAATGACCATCATCAAAAAGCCTACAAATAATAAATGTTGCAGAGAGCGTGGAGAAAAGGGAATCCTCCTACACTGTTGGTGGGAATGTAAATTGGTGCAGCCGCTCTGAAAAACGGTATGGAGGTTCCTCAAAAAACTAAAAAGAGAGTTGCTATATGATGCAGCAATCCCACTCCTGGACATATACCCAGACAAAACTATAATTTGAAAACATACATGCACCCCTATGTTTAGAGAAGCACTATTTACAATAGCCAAGACATGGAAACAACCTATATGTACACATACACACACACACACACACACACACACTGGACTGTTATTCAGCCATAAAAAAGAATGAAATAATGCTATTTGCAACTACATGCATGGACCTAGAGATTATTATACTAAAGGGAAGTAAGTCAGAATGGCAAATACTATATGGTATCACTTACATACGGAATCTAAAATACAATACAAATGAGTGTATCTACAAAACAGAAACAGACTCACAGATACAGAGGAGACTTGGGGTTGCCAAAGGAAAGGAACGGTGAGTGAGGGAAGAACTTGAACTTTGGGATTAGTAGATACAAACTATTATATATAGAATGGATAAACAACAAGGTCCCACTGTACAGCAGAGGGAACTGTATTCAATTTCCTGTGATAAACCATAATGGAGAAGAATGTGAAAAAGAATATACATACGTATTGATATAACTGAATCACCCTGCTGTACAGGGAAATTAATGCAACATTGTAAACCAACTATACTTCAATAAAAATTCTAAACAAGTGGCACTGATACAGGTTTACACACACTGGAAATTCTTGTCCATGTGGTGACAAGGAAAGAAAGCAAAGTTGCATGTGACATCATCATGGGATCTAGGGTTTGAGAATGGGATTTTAATTTCTGTTTCAGGTTTTCACCAATGAACAGGGGTGACTTTTATAATGAGAATGAGAAAGCTGTGTCAGGAAATGGACCATGTAGACACAACTCTTGAGGGAGGCTCATGTGGGTCTGGGGCACAGGATGCCATGATATTCACAATCGGATCCCTCGCCAGTCCTCCCTCCTTAGCAGAATCAGTGATGGCCAGCTAGGGGACTTGCTCTGGGGATCCCGCATTCCATCCTGAGTGATCACTTGCAGCCTGTTGATAGAGGAGGGGCTGGGGCGTGGCTATGTGGCTGGCCAGGCTACAGAGGGGACATCCAGAAATGCCAGAATGGTGGGTTTGCACTGACTTGGCTCACTCAAAGCTATCACTGTGGATTCTCACAACCACCCTGAGAGGAGGTGGTTGTTGGTACTGACAGTTGGCAGAGAAGACACAGGTGCTGGGAGGCTGTGACAGTGGCCAGAGCTAGTCCTGCTGGTTGTGCTTCAGAACCAGGATGGGAACTGGTGTGCCCTCTGCATTTTCAATCCTACTGCAAATCTTCACTCAAAGGCAGGGAAAAGCTGGAGAGGAAATGAAGCAAAAGAACCCACAGAACAACACAAACAGATGGAAAGAAATATTACGTTCTCATATTAGAAGAATTAATATTGTTAAAATGACCATACTATGCAAGGCAATCTGTGGATTCAATGAAATCCCTATCAAAATACCAATGACATTTTCCACAAAACTAGAACAAAAATTTTTTTTACTTTATATGGAAACACAAAAGATCCTGAATAGCCAAAGCAATCTTGAGAACACGAGCTGGAGGAATCAGGCCCCCTGACTTCAGACTATACTACAAAGCTATAGTAATCAAAACAGTATGGAACTAGCATAGAAACAAACAAATCAATGGAACAGAATAGAGAGCCCAGAAATAAAACCCACACATCTTTGGTAAATTAATCTAACACAAAGGAGGCAAGAATATACAGTGGAGAAAAGACAGTCTCCTCAATAAGTGGTGCTGGAAAAACTGGACAGCCACCTGTAAAAGAATGAAATTAGAACGTTCTCATAACACCATATACAAAAACAAACTCTAAATAAAGAGCTAAATCTAAGACCAGAAACCATAAAACTCCTAGAGGAAAACATAGGCAGAATACTGACATACACTGTAGCAATATTTTCTGGATCTGTCTCCTAGAGCAAAGGAAATAAAAGCAAAAATAAACAAGTAGGATCTAATTAAACTTCAAAGCTTTTGCACACTGAAGAAAACCAATGACAAAATGAAGACAGCCTACAGAATGGGAGAAAATATTTGCAAATGATATGACCAAAAAAGGGTTAATATTAAAAATATATAAACAGCTCTTACAACTCAACATCAAAAACAAACAACCTGCTTAAATAATTGGCAGAAGACTTGAATAGACAGTTCCCCAAAGAGGACATGCAGATGGCCAATAAGTACGTGAAAAGATTCTCAACATCATTAATAATTGGAGAAATGCAAGTCAAAACCACAATGAGCAACTTCCCTGGTGGTCCAGTGGTTAAGAATCTGCCTTTCAGTGCAAGGGATGCAGGTCCAATCCCTGGTCAGGGAACTAAGATCCCACATGCCTCAGAGCAACTAAGTGCTGCAACCACTGAGGCCGCATGCTCTGGAGCTTGCATGCTGCAACTAGAGAGAAGCCGTCATGCCAGAGCAAAGATCCCACATGATGCAACTAAGACCAGACACAGCCCCCAAAAATCCCCAACAAGGAGATGTCACCTCTCACCTGTAAGAATGGTTATCATCAAAAACAATGCAAATAAGTGTTAGCAAGGATGTGGAGAAACAGGAACACTTGTGCACTGTTGGTGGGAATGTAAATTAGTACAATCACTGTGGAAAACAGTATGGAGATTTCTTAAAAAAAAACAAAACAGAACTACCATATGATCCAGCAATTCCACTCCTGGGACTATATCTGAAAGAAAAAAACCCCGATTTCAAAAGATACTGCAATATTCACAGTAGCACTATTTACAATAGCCAAGACATGGAAGCAACCTAAGTGTCTACAACTGACGAATGGATAAAGAAATAGTGGTGTGTGTATATATATGCAATGCAATACTACTCAGCCATAAAAGAAATTTTTCCTTTTGCAACAACATGGATGGACTCTAAGTTGAAATAACTGAATTCATTAAATCAAATAAGTCAGAGAAAGAAAAATACTGTATAATATCAACTCTATGTGGAATCATAAAAAAAAAAAAAGAAAAGAAAACCCAAGCTGCTGAATATAACAAAAAAAGAAACAGACTCACAGATACAGAGGACAAATTAGTGGTTATCCATGGGGAGAGGGGAAGGGAGAGGAGCAATATAGGGGTAAGTTATTAAGAGGTACAAAATACTGTGTATAAAATAAGCTACAAGGATATATTGTACAACACAGGGAATAGAGCCAGTACTTTGTAATAACTATAAATGGAGTATAACCTTGAAAATTTTTGAATCACTATATTTTCACATATAATATCATACATCAACTATTCAGTAAAAAATTTTTAATTAAAAATAAAAAGAGGGGGGTCTTCCATGGGGGCCCAATGGTTAAGGATCTGCCTGACAATGAAGGGGACACAGTTTCG